TTCTGCATGTTTTGGTACGCGCTGTCACTGCTTGGCGGTCATTTTCCCGATGTGCTGACCTGCTAAATGCTTGCGTAGGCTTCCCATACGCCACTGATCTTCTAGTAGCGCTACTGTGTCAATATTTATCTAAAAAGTGCCTATAATGACACATAGGTACGGTGCTGTTATGGTACTACGATATGAAACTAAATTTCTGATGTTTCTACGTCAAAACGTGGGATGTGAAACAGATATCTTTATATTAAAGGGACGGTGCTTTCGTCAAGCAGAACATGCTTATAAACAGACGTGTCTTCCGAGAAATCGTTTTTGGTGGCTGATAATTTGTGCAAAGAAACCAGCACGATTTGGTAGTTCTGGTCTCTTAGAGGTATCAGTGTCTGTAAAAAAAAAAAAAGCAAATAAAGGAAACAACAGACAGAACGATAGACTAGTAAAAAGAGGTATCGCAGCAAAATAACACATTTGAGAAAGTGTCAAAATAAAAACGCATTTGAGCAAGTGCTGGCTTTTGGGTTGCTTTATGGTTGCGAAATGTTCAAACTTATGGACGAGGTAACGGTGCATGGCAAATCAAACTCCCAAAATGTCATTTTTATGACCATGTTCATCCTTTGATTTCATTAAAGGTGAATATCACATTTAAACTTTAAAAACAGAAGCTTTGTGCTTTAAGCAGTTATGGCCAAACATTCATTTTTTGCGCATTTGCTTGCAGCCTCTACGCTGTACATCTGCGGTTTCCATGTTAAACATGCTAACAGACCTTTTTTGTGCAGTAGCGCTAACAAATGCTTGCACAAAATTCCCACCTCCTTTTTTTATTTCCTATTTATTAATATATTACTTACTACTATAATCATTAGATTAGTTGTCATATTTAAGCTATTTAGACAAGTTATCTTAAGTTATCATAATCTAATCCCTACTTCAGTATTGAACTTTCCCGATATGTGCGAAAACGAGAACTGTTCAGCATTCTAACAGGGAGCTTTACTGATCCTTTGCTTTCTCCGTTCTAGTTCATAACGGCTTGCTGGTGTCCGTAAAAGCACACATGCAGAATAACATAGTTTATAACAGCAAGTCAGCCCATGAACCAAATGTTGCGGTATTTCGTAATGTTACAGAAGTACCACAAAATTACGAGTGCTGCTGAACTTCTTATCAGTAACATATCCCTCTGGCTCTCTCTTCACAAACCACTGGGCTTCTATTGAGTTCCATTCTCACGGCCACAGTTTCTTAGCTGGAAGCTCCACAGACTAACTTAGAGCACTTGGCGACAGAATAACGGTGCTCTCAGTCAAATTACTTTCAATCAGAGGGGAAAGGGCGTTGGGGCTTAGTACCAGTGCGAACATGCGCTGCGGCGAATAAATTAGAGGCGACAGTACGAATGGACTTAAAACAAGTGGTGATAATGCCATTGGTGCCAGAATTAGTGGATTCAGTACCATCGGCGATAGTATTATTGGAGTTGCCACTTGCGGTGATAGTATGAAGGGTGATAGCGCGAGAGGCGACAGGACGAATGGATTGAACACACCGGGGGCGAGGATAAAAGGGTGCAAGGCTAGAGGTGACAGTACGATTGGAGTGAAAATGAGAGGGCTGACAACAAATGGACCTAAAACTCGTGGTGACAAAATGAGTGGATTGAAAACCCAT